TGTCTAATTACAAATGAGAAAACTGAGGCAGAGGAAGGAGGTTAAATAGCTTGCCTAGAGTCACACATTGTAACTAAGTGGTAAAGCCAAGACTTAAACATGAGCAGCTTTGCTCGTGTCTGCTCTAGTCAGTGGTTCTCAAACCTTCATGTTTAATAGGAACCCCTGAGGATCTTGTTAAAATGCAAATTTTGATTGAGTATTTGTGGGTAGGCTGTAAGAGTCTATATTTCTTTTTTTAAATCATTTTTTAATGTTTTATTTCTGAGAAAGAGAAGCATGAGTAGGGGAGGGTCAGAGACAGTAGGGGAGGGCAGAGAGACAGGGAGACAGAATCTGAAGCAGGCTCCAGGCTCTGAGCTAGCTGTCAGCACAGCCCAACGCGGGGCTCGAAGCCACGAACCGTGAGATCATGAGCTGAGCCAAAGTCGGACGCTTAACCAACTGAGCTACCCAGGTGCCCCTGAGTCTATATTTCTAACAAGCTCTCAATCTATCATCCATCCTCTCTTCCCTCCTTGGTATATTTGTATTTTGTGGCCAGAATCTGCCTTCCCCATACTGCCTCTGATTGCTCCATATTCCCAGATATTCCCAGTATTAAATTATCTTCCTTAAAGGTCAGAGTCATACTTTACCCTCAAGAAACTTATCGTGCCCCTGACTTTCCCTCTAAGTTAAGACAGGCATTCCTGCCTCTGCTTCTACACATTGTATTACAAAATTCAGAACATTTGATTTATGGTCATTTGTTTGAAAATCTTCCTAACTAAACAATGGGCTCTTCAGGGAGAGATCTTTCCTCTCTAGTACCTAGTATATAAAAATAATAGCTAATACTTATCCAGGGCTTTCTCTGTTCCAAACACTGCTTTATACATTAACTTTAGTCTCCACAAAACACTTATGAGAATACTATTCCCATCTCACAGATGAAGAAACTGAGGCACCGAGAGATTAAGTAGTTGACCCAAGGCAACACACTAGTAAGTAGCAGAGTCATGAGGCACTTGGCACTTTGACCCCAGGGAATATGTGATAAATAAAATGAGAGCCATCCTCCACTTTCTCAAAAGAAAAACTAAGATTTATTGTCCTACTAGACATAACTACCTCTAGTCTGGGGAGATGTATTGGAGTACAATATCTGTCTCAAACTTTATTTCTCTATTGACCAAGCAGGTTAAGCAGGTTTCTTGAAACAAACTTCTTCAAGGACCCTACCAACCACTATTCTAATTTTGTAGTGCTGTATTGGAGAAGGTGGATTTCACCATTATCATCAAAATAATCTGTTTAGTTCCTATAATATTGTACAGGTAGGCAAATCGAAATGGATAAGACCTTAGGGATTTGTTTTCAAAATGAAAAAACAGATCCAAAATCATTAAACAAGTTAACCAGAGTCCTACAGGGACTTCATGACAGAACTGGGACTGGAAACAGGCCCTTTTGACTTACGGGCTGCCATTCTTTGCACTGCACACTGCCCTTAGGTCTTACCTTCAGAAAGTTTTATTACCACACCGGTATAGCCAAGGTGTATACCAAAAATGAGAATAGCCAAACCAAAAAAATAATACAAGTAGAATATAAAACAATAGATCAAGATAAGTAGATTTGGGGGACAGAAAAGAAGTAAAGTAAATGGGGGTAACTGGCAATTAAATACCGGCGTTTCGTGGAAAATTAGAAGTGCTTAGAACAGCCCAGACAGGAGGTGAAAGATCTGGGTACTGTCTTGTCAACTGATGCAACTCCTCTCCCTTGCTGTCCATTAAATTCTGTAGTCTCTACTTCCTGAAGAGCTGGCCCCGTTGCTTTAGTGGGAGGATGATGAGGCCTCATCCCCTGTGTGGAGTGGACTTTTTCCCAGCCTGATTCTTCCAAAAGAACCTCTCCACACTCCTTGCCTCATACATCTATCATACAGACACTGCTGTCAGAATGAGCTTTCTAAAATTCAAAGCCCACCATGTCAGTCCCCTGCATAAGACTTTCCAATGGTTCAAGTTGCCAGTAGAATCGCTTCTCAGCCTTTTGGCTAAGATCAAGTGTAAGTTGCCAAAAGAGTAGTAAAGTTCCAGCTTTTTTACAAGCAAACCCCTGCCAGTGCAAAGAAACTTCCTTGCATATCTAGTATTTTCCTAGGGCACTGCCATCACTTCTTTATCTTGCCTAAACTCTGATGTTGTCCTAAAGTTAACTGCTTCTCTTGAAGCCCTTTCAAATGGAGTTCTTCCTTCTATCCCCATCTTCAATATCTTTTTTTCTTTTTTTTTTAACTCCTATTCTTTAATGTGTATTTTATGTTTGAGAGAGAGAGACAAAGTGTGAGCAGGGGAAGGGCAGAGAGAGGAAGCGACAGAATCAGAAGCAGGCTTCAGTCTCTGAGCTGTCAGCACAGAGCCTGATGTGGGGCTCAAACTCATGGACCTCGAGATCATGACCTGAGCCAAAGTCAGCTGCTTAACCAACTGAGCCATCCAGCCACCCCCCCACCCACCCACCCACCATCTTCAATATCTTGAACCAGAAATAAAGGATGGCATTCTCAGCACCTTGTAACTACAACTTCCAGACCAGCTACCCTTGCAGTGAGACTTTCAAACCATGCAAACACCATTTTACTGTCATTCCATCTCTCTAGGGGGATGATGGGATTTTAGGGAGAAGCTTTTTAAGCCTGCTGTCATCAGCTTATGTTGCCCCGTTGTCCCTTTTGCCCTTGTCCTCACCAGAAAGATTTTAAAAAACCTTTCCCGGGGCGCCTGGGTGGCTTAGTCAGTTAAGCGTCCGACTTTTGCTTAGGTCATGATCTCGCAGTTCATGGGTTTGGGCCCCGCGTCGGGCTCTGTGCTGACTGCCGGCTCGGAGCCTGGAGCCTGTTTCAGTCTGTGACTCCCTCTCTCTCTGACCCTCCCCTGCTCACGCTGTCTCTCTCTGTCTCCTAGAAATAAATAAAACATTTAAAAAAACATTAAAAAAAACAAAAACAAAAACCCTTCCCCAGCGCTGTCATTCAACCACCCATTTCTTTGATCCTGTACTTTGTTCTCCAGAACTATTCCACCTCTGAAATCAATAAATAAGGTATTCCACCTTCTAAACAAGACCTTCTTTTATTCCAGAAAGTTTTTACTCCTTTACCCTCACCAAACCTGTTCTTCAACTTCAGTGAAATCTGCAGTTTGCAGTCTACCAGTTCCAGGTTTGTTCCCTCCTCTAACTTTACTTTCTTCCCCTTCTACACGGGGCCCTGTGATCATTTATTTCAAACTCTGTCTCACTGGCACTTTCAAGTTCATTCAGCTGTCTCTGCCCTTCCACATAGACCCTAAAACAGCCCTCAACCTTGAATCAGCTTCTCCTCTACAGTCCTTCCCATGTTGGTGTAGCTGTTAGTTAACTATTAGTACATAAGAAATTATCCCAAACCTTGGCTTTAAGACAAAATAAGGTTTTGGTTTTTCTTGTTTTAATTTCATACAGGCTTTGCAGTTTCTATGGGAATCAAGTTCGCTGGGTGATTCTGGCTGGAATCCCAAGAGGTGGTAGTCATGATGTAAGCTAGGACAGCTATCATCTGAAGACTGGGGCTAAAGGATCAGCTTCCAAGGTACAGTAAAAACTCGGTTTGCAGCCATAATTCGTCCCAGAAACATGCTTGTAATCCAAAGCACTTGTGTATCTAAGCAAATTTCCCCATAAGAAATAATGGAAACTCAGATGATTTGTTCCACAACCCAAAAATATCCATATAAAAATGATTAAAATACTTAATACAAAATAATAAAGGAAAATAAGTTAACCTGCACTTACCTTTGAAAACCTTCATGGCTGGTGTGAGGGAGATGGAGAGAGAAGGGTTGTTGTGTAGGATGACTTTCACTATCGCTAGCGGAATCACTGCTATCTCTTGGCTAAGTGGAATCTTTTTCTGCATGGGGACTGTTGTATATGGTCACATGGATGTTGACAGTATTAATAAACTCTTGTCATATACTGTATTTAATGGAACTGGCAATAGGCAGCGGAGGAAAGGCTCTCTATCTGCAGGCTGCCTGACCTAGAGTGAAGGGACACATTCCTAAGCTTACTCCTGTATGGAAAGGCAAAGGACTGTCCATAGATGTTTCGAAGTGACAAAAAATACACAAGTGCCAGTTGTGGGCACCTTCCAACATTCTGAAAAATCACTGATTTCTGCAAACACCATGGCCTGAGACTGAGCGTCTGAGCATGGGAGACGATAACCCACAATCCTGCAGAGAGAGAGAGAGAGAGAGAGAGAAGAACCATTGGCTCAGTTGTGATCATGTGATGTGTGTGACATTTGGCGTCATGTACTACTCGTATTGCAAAACATCACTCATTTTTCAAGTTAAAAGTTATTAGAAATATTGTGGAACGCTTGCAGAACAAGTTAGCAGAACAAGTTACTCGCGATCCAGGGTTTTATTGTAGCTTGTTCACATGGTTGGCAAGTTAGTGAGGGAAGAGGTCTGTTTTTTATGCTGTGGCCCTCCCTGTAAGGCTGCTCGAGTATCCTCACAACATGATAAGTGATGGGAGAGGGCAGTGTTGAAGCTGCAAAGTTGTAATCTACCTACCCGTGTGTGTGTGTGTGTGTGTGTGTGTACAAAATCAGGTTTTAAGAATTTATACAAAGCAGCAAATCTAGAACTTGATGGAAGTTGACATAATATTAAGTTGCATCTATTGAAATTCCATTATAAAAAGCACCTGTGTGTATTATCTCGTTTAAACTTCACAACATTCCCATGAGATAGTACTTGTTGTCCATTTCATAGCTGAGGAAACCAGGGCCTAGAGAGAAAAATAATTCCTGGAATTCCTGGACAATTGACACTGTCCAATGTCAAATATCACGAGAAGACTCTTCCCAGGAACACACAGATATTCCTGAGTTCTGGTTATTTGTGGTTGCACAACAAACCATTGCTGTAGCTTAAACAATTTATTTTTGCTCACAGATCTTCAGTTTGGTAGGGCTTAACAACACGGTTCATCTCTTCTCTGGAGTGCACTAGGACAGCTTGATAGCTAAAATCTGGAATCACCTGAGGTCTCATTCATTCATATGACCAATCATCTAGGTCTCATTCATTCATATGTTGCTGGGAATCTTTGCTGGGATTATCAGCAGCAACATCTGTGAGGGGCATCTCCATGTGGCCTGTGCTTCCTTTGTAACATGTGGCCAGATTCCAAGGGCAAGTGACTAGAGAGAAAAGAGACAAAAGAAAACTATGGAAGTGTTTGTCATCAAACTATGGAAGTCATGTCATTATTTCTGCAGTGCTCTTGGTTGGAACAGTCAAGCTCACCCAGGTTCAGGGGGAAGGGAAGTAGATTCCATTTCCTAATGGAATCCGAGTGGTAGAGTTCTGAAAGAACACGTGGACCCAAAAATATTGCTGTGGCCATTTTTGAAAAACATCATCTGCCATAGTCAGTCCTGCTCACAATTCATCTCTCTCTCACATGGAGGACATGCGCATTCCTTCCTCCTGAAACCCCCAAAGTCTCTTCCCATTGTGATAGCAGGATCAGGCTGCTAAGAGGCTAAGAGGCTGCAGTCAGACTGTGAGATCCCATTTATATAAAGTTCAAGAGCAGCAAAAGTAATATGAAGTGCTAGATGTCTGAATAGTAAATAACTTTAAAGGATCAACTACTAGGAGCATGTAGGAACCATGGAACTATGAATGTTCCAGATCTTGATCTGGGTAGGGGTTACATGAATAAATAAGCCTAGGTAAAAGCTTATCAAGCTGTACATGTGAGATTGTATCCTTTACATAGTTTACACCTCAATAAAAAGTAAAAAGGCACAGTAACGGTGGATACACATCATTACACATTTGTCAAAACCGTTGAATGTACATCACCAGCAGTGAACACTTACATCACCTATAGACTTTAGGTGACAATGACACATCAATGTAGGTTCATCAATTGTAACAAATGTACCACCCTGGTGTGGGATGGTGATAAGGAGATTGATTTTATGGGGGGGGGAGGGGGCAGGGGGCTCCGTAGGACTCGAGGTATGTGGGGTATGTGGGAACTTTTTACACAGTTTGACTGTGAACCTAAAAGTGCTCTAAAAATAAAGTTCATTACTTAAAAAGAAAGTAAGTAAAAAGGATTTTTAAAAATCCTATTTGTACCAGTTAGGAGTGTGTGGGTGTGTGGGCATGAGTGGATGGATGGGTGAAATGGTTTAAGGAACAATGAAAATTTTTGGTTCACTTTTAAGTCCTAGAGTAGTTCTGGCAACAGGCATTACCGAATCTAGAGTATCTCCGTCTCTCAGCTGTTTTCTACTGTGTTGGCTTCATTCTCATGTTCCATGTGTTGGCTCCCAGCAATTCCGGGCTTATATCATCCTCCCTGCTTATAGCATCAGCAGAAAAGAGGCACATGCTATCTCTTCCAATGGTCTTATTAAAAGTCTTGCCCGATTGGTGTTATCTCCATCTAGGTCACATGCCCATCCCTAAACTGTGGCCAGGGGAATGCAACTCCCTGATTTGCCTTATCCACATGTTACTCTCTGGAAAGGAGGAAGCTGAGTGGTAAAGTCAATTTTTTCAAAGTACATGCAGTGGGGGTGGGAGTGAGCTCAGCTTCCCTTAGGAAAATTAGGGTACTATTATCAGAGGTCAGTGAAAGAATGCTACACAGCAAAATCAGATGCTTTACTAAAATAAGCCAGGGCGCTGTGTGAGTCATAAAAATGTTCATACCCTTTGATACAGGATTCCCATTTGTGGGAAGAATCCAAAATATGAGAAAAGTTGTATTTACAGATTTTAATTTCGATGCTATCAAAAAATTGACAACCTAATCCTCTTATAATAGAAAAGTATTTTCATACCCCATATATCTACACAGACTAAATGTAATCATTTAAAATAAAAAATAAAAGGGCACCTGACTGGATCAGTTGGAAAAGTGTGAGACTTAATCTCAGGGTTGTGAGTTCAAGCCCCATGTTGGGTGTAGAGATTACTTAATAAATAAAGCTTTTTAAAAACTGAAAATTCCAAATAGTTAACATTAAAGAGTATGCTTAAGTGGGAAAATCATATACATATGTGTATATACATATATTTATGTAAAATGACACATATAGATATGGAAAAAAAATGGAAGAAAACATGCCAAAACAATAACTTACTAGGGAAAGTTCTACCATTAGAGTGGTAGAACTATGAATGATTTTTTTCCCTTTATTTTTCAAGTTTCCTTTTAGGTATGTATGTTATTGTTATGATTTAATCATGCACTTTGTAAAACTTTAATCATGCACTTTGTAGTATCTTAATAAGAATAGTCCATTCTCCTAAGAGAATTCTCCTACGATGGAACAGAACCAAAATAAAGAAACTGTGTCATCAGTTGACTAATGATTCTGGGAAAGGTCATAGAACATTAGAGTTAGAAGAAATCTCAGTGGTATTCAGTTTAATCCCCCATTTTACAGCAGAGATATCTGAGACCCAGAGAGTCAAAGTAACTTACACAAAGTCACACAGGAACCAAGGGCAGGTCTTGTGATTTTCAGGCTAACATTTCCTACACTGATTAAACCAATCTGTTAAGATTTGGATTTTGGGGGTGCCTGGGTGGCTTGGTTGAGCATCTGACTCTTGATTTTGGCTCAGGTCATGATCCCAGAGTTGTGGGATAAAGCCCCGCGTTGGGCTCTGCACTGAGCTTGGAACCTGCTTAAGATTCTCTCTCTCTAAAACTTAAAAAATAAAAAGATTGGATTTTTGTGAGACTTTCTGCTTTCCTGAAAACACATCCTCAAGTTCAAGTTGATATCCAGCCTTTCATTACTAATTCAAATTAAAGCAGCTATTGTCACTTGCTGGGAAAGTGATATTTTTAAAAGGATATTAAAAACTAATGTTATGGCCCTTTAGTGCCTTGCCTTGCACATGCTTGTGTATCTTTTTTTTTGTAAGCAGTTTAGTCAATAAATACCGAGGAAGCCCAGATCTGTCTAAATTAAATGGACCAGTGTATGGTCTACTTCTTTTGGGTGTCGGCCTCCTCACTTATTCATTGAATGAGGGTTAGACCCAATGCTAGGCTTTGGAGATCAGATGCATAAGGTACCATGATTATCCTCCTGGAGTTCACAGTTGAGTGGGGAGGTTAGACACATGCAGATAGCTCTATATGCCATAGGGGAACATGATAACACAATGTTCATAAAAGTGTTTAAGAAGATGCTATGGAATCAGGAAGACAAAGGTTTTCATCACAGAAGGCTTCAAGCAGAGGTAGCATTTGGGCTGGCCTCTTGAGTGAACAGGCTTTACCAGGCAGAGAAGTGGGGCAGGAGTATCAAGGGTATCACAGCAGAGGAAATAAGTAAAGCTTGGAAGTATAAAGGGGCACATAGAATGGCAACCTCAAGGAGTGAAATGACAGATGTTAGACTCTTAGTGGGGCTCAACTGGGAGTACTTGTTGGACTAACTTAGCAAGCTCTATCAAATTTCAGAAGATTGTAATGTACATCTTTGGCTAAAAACCTTAAATGACTTCTGAGATCTTACATATACCCTCAAAGTTTTGGGGTCTGTGGTTGCCACAGTACCTCATGAGACAGCACCAGACCTAATGACACAAGTTATTGTCATTTAATCCACGTTGGAACCCAAGTGGCAAAAATACCATCTGTGCTCTGTATGGAGATTTGACACTGATTGATGACTTGATCATTAGAAAACCAAAGGGAATTGCAAATGAAAATAGAAATAAAGACATAATCGCACACATTGAGTTTTCCCTAGTTTATTTTGGGGCGAAAAAAGTTTTTTTCAGGTTCACCCAAATGCTAAGGCACCTCAGGTGAGGAGCTGATGATAATCAGTAATTATCCAAGGTGAGATCCAAGATATTTCATAAAGATGGAAATAATAACCCTGTCGGAAATGGAAGTCATCTATCATGGGGGAGGGGGCTATAAATCCAAACATAATATTCAACTTGTCTTCACCTCAGAGAGTTTCCAGCTGTTTATGACGTTTTGCTGTGATTTGCCAGAGATGAAATGCATTTTTTTAAACTCTGCTCCAGCCAGCTGAACGAAAGGCTTGGGAGCCATATTCTCTTCCAAGAAGTGTTGAGCACTTGTGAAGTCTGCAGAGAAATGGTAGAAGGTGTCTGCTTTCTTGTCAGTTCCAATGAAGATCTTTTCATTGCAACCCTAGAATTGATCATTATTTTCTAAGTGAACTAGAGAAGACCAGATCAGGTCTCTCTTGGGTTGAAAGGGTGCTTGCTGTGATGTTATGAGTTTTAAACTTAGCACGTCAAGGCCAGTGGTTCAAATCCAAGCCTCGCTAAAGGCAGAGGTAATAAAGGAACGCATGCTTATGGAGAGCCTGAGGAATGCATTTGTTGAGAAATGATTGCGGGAAGGAAATGGTCCAAATAATGCTTGGGTGAGTGTGTGCCCGCGCGCACACACACACACACACACACACACACACACACCCTGAGCTGAAGTGTAGAAGGGAGTCTATGGTGAAAGCACTTAATCTCACCAGACTGACTGGAGACTTCTTGAGAGCAAGGACAGAGGCTGAGTTCTGAATTCCCAGCACTGTTGAGTAAATTACTGGATGACATGTTGAACCTGAGAAGACAGTGGTGTGGCCATGTGGCAGTGTCTTCCCACAGTCACTCCAGACTGCCTAAGCTTCCCAGACAAACCTTGCACCTTCATGTCCTGCCCTGGGGCTGTTCTCCTCCCATTCTTCCTCTGTCTGGAATAGTTTTATGCCATCCCTTCTTCCACCCCCTGGCCTTTTGAAGGCTATTAAAACCATCATTCTTTATAGTCCGTCTTAAATGTCTCTTGAAAATAGTTTTCCATGCACAGATGGGAGCAGGGAATGTCCCTGGAAGTTAAAGAGGTCTTGGTTTGAATCCCAATTCTACCTCTTTCAGGTTCTTGAGAAAGTTACCTCAGTTTCCACCAGATGGGTTTAAGGAAAGGTTAATGTGATAACATATGTACAGTGCCTAGCTCAGTGACCAACCCTGGATAGATGATCAGTGACTCGGTGTTACCTCTCTCCATCCATTCACCTTCCTCCGTGAAACCCAGCTCTGTGCTTTAAAAGTGTTGCCTCCCTCTACCTATACATTCTTTAACACTTCTTTGCCCCCCCTCCCAGATATAATTGCTACC